CAAGACAGATTTTCGATGGATTGTGGAAAAGGAGAATATAAGAATTGGAGGTATATGGCATAGATTTAATACAATAGGGGGGGGGGGGGGGCGCACGTGATTGCGTTGCTCCAGACGAGGCGCATGTCGCGGACGAAGCCTCCCGCGTCGGTGTACTCCTACGGACATGTCTCGGACCTGTCACGGACGTGTCTTGGACCTGTCCCCTCTCCCGCGCGTGTGTCGTCCTTGCGGTCGAGGCGCTGCTCGACGGTGCCGAGGTCCATCGGGTGGGTGATCACCGTCGGGTAGTCGGGGATGTTGAGCGCAACCTGCGAGAGGAGTGGGCTGTCCTCACCATCTGCCACCCATCGTCCCTCCTTCGGGCGGTGTGCCGCCACCGGGTCGACGGGCGCGAGGAAGTCACGCGCCTGTGGCACCATTCGTCACTCATTACCGCGCACCATCCGACTATGAGTCGAGAGGAGAATCGCCGCGGCCTGAGGCATCTGCAGAAAGGGGCGCAGCAGCGAGCGGCACTGGCCGAGGGTCATCTCGAAGCTGTCCGCCTCCACCGCACCCGCCGCAGCGCTCGCCCCGCCCGCCGCGCCCGACCGCCCCGCCGGCCGCGCGGCGGCGGGCGGCGCCGGCGCGCGCTTTCGCGCGGGCGCGGCCGGCGGCGGCGCGGCGGCGTCGAGGGCGATGGCGGCGGTGTCTGCGAAACCGGACTGGCTGAACTTTCGCTTGGTGTGCTCCCGGAGGGTCGACGCGTCCGCCCCGATCCACGACGTCGGCCCGTTGAAGTCGATCGCGTTCTGCCAGATGAGGTCGATGTCGCGCCTCAGGTCGGCGACCGTGCCGTACCGGCCCCGCTCGAGGTTGGAGGAGACGGTGGCGAGGTCCATCGGCTGCGTGATGATGGTCGGGTAGTGCGGCAGGTTGAGCGCCACGTAGTCCACCGGCACGCGGAACGGCTTCGAGCGCGCGTGCGACTGCAGGCTGCGCAGGAGGGGCCGCAGCTTTGAGGCGGGCACGCCGTCCGCCGCGTCAGAGTCCGGCGCGGGAGGCGCGGGCCGGTCGCACGAGCCGACCAGGGCCTCGAGCCGGTCGTCGAAGGCCTTCTCGAGCGCCCTGGCCGCCTCGTGCACCACCGAGCCGACCGGGTTGTACAGCCGCGCGTTGTACCAGACGAGCTTGACGTCGGCCACAAACTCCTCCGTCGTCGCATAGCTGCTCGCGTCAAGCTTCTTCTCGATCGTGCCGAGGTCCATGGGCTCGCGGACGATGGTGGGGTAGTCGGGGATGCGCAGCGCGACGACGTCGACCGGCTGCAGAAAGTAAAACGCCTGGTCCATCTTGCTGATCGGCTTGAGCAGGTCGCGGCCCGCCAGCCGCAGCGAGATGGCGCCGCACGAGCCGGCCGGGACTTGCGGCCGGGAGTAGGTGGACATGGCGCCCCCACAGCGGGACTCGCCCCCACACCGGCGCAGCAGCAGCGGACGCGAGCACGCCTGCAGGCGGCGGTGCCGGTGCGGTGAGCGGCGGCGGGCGCGCGGCAGCGCGGCGCGAGAGTGGGCGCGTGAAGTGGCGCATGAGCCGCGCGGCCGCTGCCGATTCGCGCGCGCGGCGCGAGAGGAGTGGCGGGAGCAGGAGCGGAGGACACGGGCCGGGGCGGGGCGCGCGCCGGGCGAGAGCGAGCGGAGAATAACGCGAAAAGCGGCTGGGGAGGGGAGTTGCCGCAATACGATAACGGTCCCGCCGACGAGCCGGGGGGCCGAGGCCGGAGGGCCCCGGGGGGGGCTTGGGGTCAGCTGTCGGAGGAGGCGAGAGATGGGCTGGCGCGACCTCTGCGAGTAGAGTCGGGACGTGCGAGCTCACTCACCGGGGGAGGGAAAGGCCCGTCCGTTGCAGTCAGTGGCAGCCGGATCACCGCGACCTTCGGCAGGGAGGGCCACGCCTCCCCGAGCCTGAAGAGGAGCCGGCGGAAGGGGGGGGCGAGCCAAGGACGATAGAGAGGCCGCGGGTGCGGGCACGACTCGCCGACCAGAGGGAGAGCGGGCTCGACCTCCCGGAGGTGGAAGCGGGAGTGACCCAATGCCACCGTCCTCGCCCAGGGGGTCGGGAGCGGGGTCGCCGGAGGCGGAGTCAGCGGGATCAGGCATCCTCGCCCAGGGGGTCGGGAGCGGGGTCGCCGGAGGCGGAGTCAGCGGGATCAGGCAGAGAGGACGAAACGGTGGCGGGGCCGCGGCCAAAGAAGGCTAGGAGGGGAGGTCGGGCCCCACGGTCATCGCGTAACCATCGGAAGGCGAACAGGAGGGAGGACCGAGGGGAGGGAGGGCCCCCCTCGGAGGGGGGGTGAGGAGACCGTGCGCGGAGCGGGGGGAGTTCCGAGCGGTGCAGTCAGTGAGGAATGGGTGTGTTGTCGTGCTAGAGTCTGGTGTCTACTAGCCCCGAGTAGAGGGGGCGTTCCGCTGCTAGGGGAAACCCGGAGCGCAGAGCTAACCCTCGGGGACCCGTGTTTACTTTAAGGCCCTTTCCCTGCGAACGCGCACCCCCGGGGCTAGGGCTCTCTTGCCCGCAACCCGATCCCGATCATCCGGCCCGCTGGGTGCGCTTCTTAGCTCCCCGGCCCTGGATGTGAGGCTGATGACCGCACTCCAAGTGCTCCAAGTGCGGGACCGGGCGAGGCACTCCCACGCCTCACGTAAACGCACAACCCCGGGCCCCGAAATCGCACATTGATGACAGTGACATGCAACACGGGGTCCCAGGGAAGGCTGAATAAGGTTTGCCTCTCGCACCCCGTCTCTTTTCCTTTCCTGTTTTCTCTACAGCGCCCTCTTTTCCTCTATTTTCCCGGGGAAAGCACAAATTTTCCGGGCTCTGAGCCGAGTCTGAGTGAGGCTGGTTGGTTTGGGCCCAAACAAAATCAGCCAAATCGGCAAAATACCCGATGGAGAGGGGGGTGGGGACGGCGGGGGCGGGGAGGGTGGTGGCGGGGAGCGGGAGGGCGGGGGTGGGGACGGAGGGGGTATTTTGCGGGTACCTGGAAAACCCCGGGTAATACCCGGTATGTTGTGCCCCCTCCTCGGTTTTGCCTCAGATTTTGCCCCAGACCAGCTCGCAGACTCATGGAAACTCGAGAGTTGCCAGAATGGAGCTCCAAAAACTCTCTGTTCCCTGGAAATTTCCGGAAACGCAAAGTGCTGGGGACGACGCTCTGTTTTCCTTTTTGTTTGCCGGAAAAGTATATGCAGGCCAACTCGTTGGCCAACTTGCTCAGATTCGAGATTGCAGTGGTTGTCCGCGGGGTGTGCTCCAGGCGGTCGTGGTACGTGGATCGCTGGATCCGATGTTTAGTTTATCCTACCTTCCTGCCTACAGTGGGTTGCGGGCATTAAGAAAACAGGGGATTGCGCGGCACGCCGCCGGTTCTACGCCTTTCCACAGCCCTCATCCACCCCACGCCGTGGTTTCTTAGCTCCGGCCGGCACTCAAGCCAGAGCCGGCCCGACCGAAGGAAGGAGTTTTACTCGAGTAGGTGAGAGGTAAGCTGCGGTCCGCGAGGGCGATGCCAGAGTCTGCCGCCGAGTCGGCTCTCTGGATGTGACGGGAAGACGCACACACGCCTCCATCCACTCCACTCAGAACACCGCAGACTTGAAAAGTGACAAGTGCGCGCGCCGCAGGCGAAGAGAAATTTTGAGCTGCAGCTGGGGCTCCCGTTCACACTCGTATCTGGCCTTTTCTCGGGGCCGCGCCTGCGGCGCGCCGTGGTTTCTTAGATTTTTGCGGAAATCGCTTGGTAGGGTTTCTTAATGCCACGTTTTCTTAATGCCCGCAACCCACTGTAGCTTCGGCTTCGAATTGCATGATCCACATCGCTCATCGGCTCCCGCACTGAAGAGTGAAGGTTGGTACTCTCCTGCAACCACAGTCCTTCCTGTGACAGTTATGGCAGGCCACTCTCAGCACTCAGGCCCTATTGTACAAGCACACCAGATCACCCACCCAGATCACCCACCACTTGGGGAGGGTTCTCTTCGTGATTTCTTTTTATGCTGTGATTCCGGCGTGAAGAGAGGGGGGAACCCGACCCACTACCCTACCTCCTCGGAGTGAGGGCCGCCAAGCAAAAAAGAAGATAGCTAGCTCGTCCGAAAAAAGAAACTGGTGGCTTGCGCTGCACGCCTCGTACCTACTGGGGAGCGCTTCACAGCTTCACTGCCTCGTTAGCCCCACGATATGTCCTCCCCTTCCTCCTCTCGTAAGCTGCCCAACATCCTCATCGTCGGCACGCCCGGGACGGGCAAGAGCACCACCGCGCAGTACGTCGTGCAGGGCGCGCCGTCGATGCGGCACGTCGAGGTCGGCGCGCTCGTGAGGGAGAAGCAGCTGCACACGGGCTGGGACGCCGAGTACGAGTGCCACGTGCTCGACGAGGACCGGATCCTCGACGAGCTGGAGGAGGGCATGGAGGCCGGCGGCGTCATCGTCGACTTCCACGGCGCGGACCTCTTCCCCGAGCGGTGGTTTGACCTCGTCGTTGTGCTTCGCACCGACAACAGCGTGCTCTACTCGCGGCTGCAGAGCAGGCGAGCGTGGGCGAGGGTAGAGACCCTAGGCACCCCATACGCGCGCACCCTGCGCGTCTCGGCCAGCGATGATCCCAAAGCTTAGTGATACTCGGAGACGCATGACGAGTCGTGTTCAGCGGACTGAGGCCGAGCCGCCGTGACGGGCGGCGCCGGGCTGGCCGAGCCTGGCAGGCTGACCCCTCTAACCCCCGCCGCAGAAACTACTCGCAGAAGAAGCTGACCGAGAATGTGGAGGCCGAGATCATGCAGGTGATCCTCGATGAGGCGCGCGAGTCGTACGCGGAGGAGATCGTGCTCGAGCTCTCCTCGGACACGCTCGAGGCGCTCGAGGCGAACGTGCAGCGGATACTCCAGTTCATCGCCGCCTTCAAACCCGCCGCGTGAGTCGGAGCCGCCCCCGACTGTTGTGCGGAGGACTCGAGGTGTCGTGGCGTTGATTAAAGTGAGAGGCTCGCAGTCGGCACCGGGTTGGAGTGCGATGCGACTTGCAACCTTTCGCGCCCTTTCCCCGGGTTAGGGGTTATCATAGAGTACTGTGCCGCTTTTTTTTGCCCTTTGCTCAAGCAAACAATGCTAGCTCCGTGTTTTGCTCGCCCCCGGCGCAGCCTGGAGCAGCCTGCAGGTGCAGCCTGATGCCTGCGTGTGCACGCCTGCTGCACGGTGAGAGAGAAGTTTTTAGGTATGTTGAGAGAGAGAAGAGAGAAGTGTGTCGGTTGTCGTGTGTCTGTAGTCTGAGAAGTGCAAGTGGTCGGGTAGTATATTGTGCTCTATTGTGTGCTCTTGTGTTGGAGCGTCGTCGAGCTCTGCCTCTGGGCAACCCCAGGGCATACAGCTTACAGGACCAAGGCTATTTCGCGCTCGGTCATTTTTTCTCTCTCTTTGCAAAGGGGGAAGAAATCACCGCCGCATGCGCGTCTTGCTGCCGCCGTCAGTCGCCTCGAACCCAAAGTTTGTCCGGCAGCTCCACGAGGCGCAGCGGATGCAGCAGGAGCTCCTCCGGTCTGATCCACCGCTCACCACCAGTTTGGCTCGCCACCTCGAGCTGCTGCCCGAGAGCGTGCACGCAGAGGCGAGGCGGCTGGGTGCGCTGTTGGCAGAGGTACTCGGCCTGCCTCCGGACGCGCCGCTCGAGCAGCTCCACCGCGCCATCGACGGCTTCTCCCCAGCAAGGCGGGCGCACGATCGCGTCATGAGCTCCAAGCGAAGACTGTGCGCACCGCTCGCCGACGCAGCGCAGGCGGCGCTGCTGCAAGGGGCCTATGACCGGCTCATCTGTGAGACAATCGCACCCTTCGTTGCGAACCGTTCGCCCGGCCTTGAGCGACTGCACTACGCAACCTTCCCGACGCTGCGCGTGCAGACGCCTTCGTCGTCGGTCGCCACGATCCGACCACACCTGGACGGCATGTACGGCCTGGAGCCCGGTAGCCTCAACGTCTGGCTGCCTCTCACCGAGGTCCGGGAGGTTTCCGCGCTGTGGGTGGAGCAGTCGGTCGGGACGAGCGACTTTCGGCCGATCCGGCGGCCGACGCTCTTTGACGGCCGACGAAGCGTTCACTTCACGGTGCCGAACCGCTCGCGACTCACGAGAGTATCGCTCGACTTTCGGCTAGTGCCTGGCAGCTGCTTTGACGAGGAGTCGCGACTCGCCCGGCAGGGATACTACTCGACAGCCAGCGTCGACAGACACACCTCACGGTGGGTCAAGACATCCCACGGCCGGGTGTCGGAGCTGCACGGGCTGCCCCACACAGCAAAGCCGCGAATTACGGCCGCAGCCTGTGTATCTTGAGATGTGCCTGTGAAAAGAAGCCTGTATGAAGGCGGGATATAGGCAAAAAATAAACAGCACACGTTGCGAGCGTCTGATGTATGTGCGCGGCCGGCGTGTGACTCGCGTGGTGTCAACCATAGTCTGAGCACTGAGGGTATCCTATAAAAGTTCGGCCGATTTGGGTCAAAACGCTAAAAGCACGGTTTGTCTACAAAGAAGTAGGCGGGCACTTGTTTTCTCTTTGTCCTGTGTTAGTGTCAGTGCGCGCCAGTGGTCCCGTGCCTAGTGTTGTGTGAGAGAGAGTACCATGCGGAATCGAAGAAAGAAAACAGACAATTCAACGATGGGAGGAGGACGCACGCCGCCACCACACAGGGATTGTAAGGAGAGGGGTGTGTGATGCGCTAGCCGTCGCCCACCCTCGGGCGTCTACCTCTTCGTATCTCTCTTCGCAGGTTCGCGCCAATTCTCGCAGCAAAAAGAATGAAAGAAGACAGAGAACCAGGGAGGGATGGGAGGACGGCACGCCCGCAGCACAATTCTATGTATGTATGTAGTAAGGTGAAGAACAGTCAGGCTCGGACTGGACACCAACGCGGTATGGGTGGACGCAAGACAGATGATGACGACACGCACGAGCGACACACAGACACAAACAAGCTCACAAGACACACAGCCAGCGGGCTGCCACACATCCTGAGTGGGCGTACACATCACTCAGGCCACGTCCCCCCTGTCGCCCCCCCCAGCACTCCAAGGTGCCAAGAGACAAACAACAGCACAACAACACAGACAGGCGACAGGGGCGAACGTGTGATGAGACTAGAGCAGGTTTGCTCCGCCTCTAGCAATCTCGTCGCCGGCCGCAAGGCACGGACGAGACCGTGTGTGGGGTCTTGTGAGGTGTCTATGGACGCCCTCCTCACAGGCTATTGGCCAGCCGCTAGCCCTAACTCGCACTCATGGGTGACGACAGTTCATTGGATGAGTGGTTGCGAGCAGAGGCGCGTGTGCTGAATCTAGATCGCACGCCGCGGCATATGACTTGGGTAGGCGTGCGACCGCAGCGCGCCCGCCGAAGGCTCGACCGGGCACGCGTGTCAGCCAGAACTTTGCCAGTAGAGCGATCCTGGTCTTTCCGAAGACGAGCCCCGCGCCATAGGTGCCAGCCGTGCCTCCGCGGGAGCCGCCTCTCGAGCCGCGTCCCGCCGGCACTGTCCCTGAGTGCGTCCCGCCTTGGTTGGCGACACGCACTCGACGAGGGCAGACAATTCTCTCAGCGACCTTCACGCCCATACTTGGAGCACTTGGAGTGCAGTTATCAACCTCACATCCAGGGCCAGGGAGCTAAGAAGCGCACCCAGCGGGCCGGATGATCGGTGTCGGGTTACGGGCTAGAGAGCCCTAGCCCCGGGGGTGCGCGTTCGCAGGGAAAGGGCCGTAAAGTAAACACTGGTCTCCGAGGGTTGGTTCCGTGTACCGGGTTTCCCCTTAACTTCAGAACGCCCCCTCTACACGGAGCTAGTAGACACGACGCTGTACACCACGCACGTACACAGGTCCTCACTCAGCATCCCGTCCCAGGGTTCCACTGCCCGACTTCCCGGGGCTCCGGTTCTCCCTGATTCGCTCTTTTATTCGCCAGCCGAGCGTCGCCTGACGGTCGCTCCATACGATTCTTTGGCGCCCTTGGTTTCCCACTGCCAATCGCAGCGTGTCGCGCAGCCCCCAATGCCCGACGTCGCCTATGGGACACCTGTGGCCGACACGGGGCCTGTGCCGCTCGGAACGCCCGTCTACCCGCCACCCCCTGTCTCACCAGCGGCAGCGGCGCCGGCCGTCAACCAGTGCGCTGCTTCGCAGCTCTCTGATCACACCGAGCGCACGATGCACTCGCGCGAGCGCTTTTGATCGTAGGCACGCCTTTGGTGGTCGCGACGACTATTCACGCCCTTTGCCGATGCGTGTTGGAGGCTGCGGCGTCAAGAGGCATATTGGAGGCCGCGTCTTGCTCCCCGACTGGCTCCACGTCTCGGGTTGCTGTGCGACGCTAACGGTCGACACGCGCGAGATGCTGCAGCCTGACCATCCGCACGGCGCGGAATTCGTCATCGGATCGCAATGCGGCGTGCGCGCATTTGCAGGCCGCGTTTCCGGATCCCGAGTCCACTGACGCGCGTGCCACCGCGAGCAGGTAGCTTGTGCCCGCCGTACTTTTGCTGCTCGTCGCTCACGCTGCTCGTCTCGCCCGACCGGCCCGCCTCCGCCGCGCCACCGGTGGGCTGCTGCTGCTGCTGCTCCGGTCCGGAGGGATGCGAGAGAGCGCCCCACAGCCCGTGCTTAGACAGAGAGCAGCCTGCTCTGGGTGGTGGCTTCCTTTGATGGTGCCTTGGTGAATGGGCGCGTCTCCCCTCGGCCGTGCAGGCCTGACCGTCGTCAAGTCGGACCAGCGAGCCGGCGGACGCGCCGCGCCGCCCCAGTCGCGCGCGGGCGCCATGCACGTGGGCGGGAGCGGCTGCTGCTCGACGGCGTGCCGCACACGCCTCGGGGCCCAGCACGCCGCAGAACGCTTCAGCGCTCGCCTCTGCGGTGCTGCCACGCCACTGCGCTCCCCCCCCCCCCCCTCCCCCACGCGGCAGGCGCGCGTGCTGCTGCTCGACCTCGGCCAGCCCCACGGCGCACCAAGCAGCCTCGGGCTCCTCTGACCGCGGTCGGCTCGGCCTGTCGCCCGCGGCTAGCCCGCCTCCCCAAGGGGAGGCGCCTTCTCCGCCGGACGGTCCCGGCGACCACCGAGGAGACGGCGGTAGCCGCGCGCAGTCAAGTACATACATGCTGTGGTAGAGAGAGACCGCCCCGCGCGCCGACACGACGCCAGTAACGCCGCCGACGTCTCTGATACGTTTATATACTTGTGTACTCGAGGCAGTGGACCATGGTAGTGGCGATTGGCCCTATGGCCCAGTCGCCGGCTAGCGTTTCTTGCTTGCGCGCGTTTTTTGTGAAGAGAGAGGGCCAGTGTTGCCATCTGACTGTCGCCGTCGTCTCTGAAAGTCCTTTTCTTTGTCCAAGTCGCAAGTGAGTGTTAGTGCCAGTGCGCGCCAGTCCCGTGCCCAGTGCGCAGAGCGCAGTGTGAGCAGTGTTGTGAGAGACCTGCACTTGGAAAATTGGAGTGCGTAAAGCGTGTGGATGCTGGGTTCAACAAAATCGGAGGACGCGACCCACTTCGCCACAGACGGTCCCGCGCCTCGCCGCTAAGACGGGTACACGACCGCGGCTTGTGTGCGTGTACCCGTCTTTGTCCGGAGTGAAAAGTCCAACGCGCTCGTCGGTGACGGCTTCCTCCAACCTGCGCCGCGCTCGGCGAACCTCGACAGCGCTTTCGGTGGCATGCAGCTCTTTGCGACAGAAGCCTGGAGAGCAGCTCCTCTGCTGCTCACACACTCTGCACAGCTGACACAGCCTACTGTGCGGCTGTCACAGCTGTGACAGCGATGGGCTCGCCCTCACTGGCCCTCAGTCACTTGTGCTGCGGCTTGTGTGAGCGACACTGCTCGGCGACTGCCGGCACACTGTGAGACCATGGGTGAGAGGTCAAACCACGCTACCAGCGCTTGGTCACATGGGCCCCGAGGTCAGATCCATCTACTCTGTTGATGACAAGACTTGTCTACCGGCTGGAGCCGAGCAGGAGGGCTTGGCGCACAACCCCTGTTCAACTCACCCTCCACACCCCGTACCTTATCACACGGCCGGCATGCCGACACCGCCACAATTATTTTTCGGTGTACCTGTGTTAGTGCCAGTGCGCGCCAGTCCCGTGCCCAAAGAGAAAGAAAGAAAACAGACAAGGGAAGGGAGGGATGGGAGGACGGCACGCCGCCACCACACAGGGATTTTAAGGAGAGGGGTGTGATGCGCTAGCCGTCGCCCACCCTTGGGCGTCCGCCTCTTCCTTAAAGAAAGAAAGAAAACAGACAACCTAAGGGAGGGATGGGAGGATGGTACGCCGCCACCACACAGGGATTTTAAGGAGAGGGGTGTGATGCGCTAGCCGTCGCCCACCCTTGGGCGTCCGCCTCTTCCTAAAGAAAGAAAGAAACAGACAGCAAGGGAGGGATGGGAGGATGGTACGCCGCCACCACACAGGGATTTTAGGGGAGAAGTGTGGTCCGCCTCTTCCTATGCGACTAATGCGCCAGAAAATTCTTTTTCGCGTTCTGCCAAGCTGGCCGCCCCGCCATTTTGCGGGCATGGCTGCGGGAGCATCGAGCGCTCAGGCGCGCTTCGAGCTTGAGAACGACATTCGGGCGGTGGATGCGGTCTACACGTACGACAATCCGCAGCAGCAAAAGTGGCTCTCCGCCAAGCCGTGGACGCGCGACCCGCGCTACTTCAAGAACGTGCGCATCTCGGCGCTCGCGCTCATAAAGATGGTGATGCACGCGCGCGGGGGCGGCACCATCGAGGTGATGGGGCTGATGCAGGGCAAGATCGACCTCGACGACCCGCGCGGCCCGACCCTCATTGTGCTCGACGCGTTTGCGCTGCCGGTGGAGGCGACAGAGACGCGGGTCAATGCGATGGCGGACGCTTACGAGTACATGGTCGAGTTCCAGTCGCTGGCTCGCGAGGCGGGGCGCGCCGAGAACGTGATCGGCTGGTACCACTCGCACCCCGGCTACGGCTGCTGGCTCTCGGGCATCGACGTCAACACGCAGATGCTCAACCAGCAGTTCCAGGAGCCGTGGCTCGCCGTCGTCATCGACCCGACCCGTACCGCTTCGACGGGCAGGGTGGAGATCGGCGCCTTCCGCACCTACCCGCAGGGCTACAAGCCGCCCGAAGGCGCGCGTGACGAGTTCGAGTCGGTGCCGCTCGCCAAGATTGAGGACTTTGGCGCGCACCAGGACCAGTACTACCAGCTCGAGATCTCCTTCTTCAAGTCGGCGTCCGACACGGCGCTGCTCAACACGCTGTGGAACAAGTACTGGGTCGCGACCCTCTCCTCCTCGCCCATCCTCGCCAACGCCGGCTACATGACCGACCAGCTCAAGGACCTCGCGGACAAGGTGGAGCAGGCGGACGGCCAGATTGCTCACTTTGGGCGCGGCGGCAGCTACCTCGGGATGGCGGAGCGGGCGCCCAAGGGCAAGGACGAGACGCAGCTCAAGAAGCTGGTCAAGGGCGCCTCCAAGCTCTCGCGAGAGCACGTGCAGGGGATGATGCAGCAGATCCTCAAGGACAACATCTTCAACAAGAGCTCCGGCGCGGCGTCAGAGGCGGCCATGGACACCTCGTCGTGAGGCGCGCGCGTGGGGGGGGGGGGGGGGGGGACACGGCCCCTCGCTGTGGCCCCTTGCCGCGGGCCTGCGGCATCGCCGCCAAGTACACTGGTATGCGTGATGCCCGCCGAGCGCCGACGCACGCCACGGCGGCGCTCTCGTTCAAAGGAGTCCTGACGAGTGTACCGTTTCTTGTCTCGACTCTCACAGTACACCCAAAATAACGTAGAAGGTCAATGAGAGAGAAGGGGCAGAAGTGAGGCCGATCATCCATAAAGAACGGCGCGCGCATAATGGCCGATGTGTGTGCAACCATGCGGTGGGGGCGGGTCACGCTCACGGGGGCGGGCCACGGCCAGCGAGAGACGCGCCCCGGCTCGCTCGACTAAACCCACGGCGCCCACCCTTCGTACAGCAGAGCGAGCTGGTCGAGACTGGTCGCCTGCCGAATGAGCGAGTCCACCTGCTCCGCCACGCTCTGCCGCGACTCTCGCTCGCGCCCAGGCCACCGGTCGCGCCCCTCGAGCTTGCACTTGACGCGCCGCAACATGGCGAGCGCGTGCGGATTCTTCGGCTGCTTGCCGCCGACAGCGCGGCCCGGGCCCTCCGTGGCGTCCTCGGGAGCGGCGCCCCTCCGCTGCCTCGCCTCAAAGACATCGTCAGCCGCGGCGTCGGGCGGCTCCGCCGCTCCCCCCGCGGCGGACTCCGAGCCTGCGGGCCCGTCCCCAGCCGCGGCAGCACAAGCGGTGCCGAGACGCTCGAGCCGAGGCCCGACATCGGCCGCCGCATCGAGCAGCGTCGCAAGGAACGACTCCACGTCGCGCGCGGCCTCTGGCGACGCTTCGGAGCGGCGCCGGTCGGCCGCGTCGCCGACGCCGCCGCGCCCATCCCCCCCCGCCGGAGTCGCCGCCTGCAGGAAGGCGCCGATCGCGGTCTCGGCTTGCTGTCGGCCGCCCCGCTCGTGAAGGATGTGCGGCAGCAAGCGGCCGCTGAGAAACTTCGCCCGCTCGTCGACGGCGCGCCAGCCCTCGTGCAGCCCGCGCGCCAGCTCCAACACGTGGGCGACGCCGCCCGCCGCCGCCGCAGGCAGCCGCGCGAACGCACCGTGCAGCTCGACGAGCTGCGCGCCGAGCGCGTCACCCTCGGCAAGCAGCCGCTCGGCCGCGACAGACGCCTCGGCGGCGGCGCTCACCGCGGCGCCGTCGGCCTCCGCCATCGCGCCAAGCGCCATCGCAAGGTCGCCCGCCTCGGCGCGCAAGTGAGAGGCGGTAGCCGCGCAGCGGGTGCCGTTCAGAAGGAGCGCATCGCGCCGGTTGCGCAGCTCGTCGACGGCCATGCGGAGGCGCGTGTCTTTCGACGCCGCCTCAGCATGCCTCGACAGGAGTGCTGTGTTTGCGGCGGCGACTGCTGCCGCCTCGCCGCCCGCGCCCGCCTCGCGCGTGTCCTCGAGGCGCAGCAGCGCCTCCGCCAGAGAGCGGAGAAGCGAGAGGAGGTCGATGCTGCCGGCGACGCGAGTGTCGTCCGCAGCCTTCTCCGCCTCCACCGCCTGCAGCTGCGCGCGACGCACCATCAGCTGCTCCAGCGAAGACGCGCTCACACCCCCGATCGCGCCGGCAGCGTCGGGGATTGCCACGCCGACCCAAGCGCGCAGGTGGTCAAAAGCGGGGGCTCGGCGCTGCCGCGAGCGCTCCAGGGCCTCGCCGGCCTCGGAGGCCGTTGTCACGCGGTGTCTCAGCAAGGAGAGCACCCCCTTGCGCGGGAAGTGGCCATCACCAGCTCCGTCGCCCTCGTCGCTCGCGCCAGGGTGCAGCCAGCGCAGCCGGTAGATCAACTGGCGTCGCTGCGTGAGCTGCAGCTGCAGGCGCGAGGCAGCGGCTGCGAAAGAGGCGGCGGTGGCCGCCACGCTCGCCACAGAATGCCGCGCGTCGCAGAACTCGTCGAGGGCCTCGCCGACAGCCGCATCGGCAGCGGCGCTGGCATCAGCAGCACTGGCACCGGCGCTTTCGCTCATGTCCGTCGCGAGGAGGCCGTCGCAAGCGAGCGCAGCTGCTGCGCCGACAGCCCGGGCGAGAAAGCGGCTGAGTCGTCCCGTGAAGGCGGACGTCAGCGCGAGCGGCAAGTCGTCCTCGACTCCGCCGGCACCGGCCGCCGCCCCCAGCGTGGCGAGGGCATCGCCCATGAGCTGGACCTCACTGCACAGCGCCTCGGACAGCAGCCACCCGCGAGGCAACCCTCCCTCGCGCTCGGCCGCGCACGACTCACACGCCTCATCCAGCGCCGCGGCAGTGCTGCGGAGCGCCGCCATCGGCCGACGCATGGCTCGCAGCATGTTGCAGGCGCTGTCGCGTAGCGCCGACGCGGCCGGAACGGGCTGCAGCCCCGGAGGGCCCCCGGCGGCGGCAGCGCGCTCCGCTGAAGCAAGCGCGGCGTCCACCCTCGCGCGCAGCGCGGCTGCGCTATCGCTGAGAGCCTGCCCCTCTTCGTCAAGCGCCTCGGCGGCAGCGGCCCGCCCATCCCATGTGGCGCGTGCCGCCGCTGCAACCTCGCTCCACCGCTGCGCCTCGGCCGCAGCCTCGTCCGCCTCCTCCCACCCAAGACCGCCGCCAGCCTGCGCCTCGGCTTCACGCGCGGCAATGGCGTCGAGCGCCGCCGCCGCCGCCGCCGCCGCCGCCTCGGAGTCGATCTCGCTCGCGCGCTGCTCGGCGTGCCGGCTCCTCAGCGCCTCCCACGCCGAGCTGAGCTGCCGCGCCTCCACTGCGAGCGCGCTGACCGCAATCGCCTCCGCCTCCGCCGCCATCGGGTCGGGTGCTGCGGATCCCGCACTCAAGGACGCGGAGAGGCTGGGGAGCGCAGCAGCGGCGACGTCGCGCAGAGCAGACTGGCTGTCGGCGATGGCTCGCTCGCAGAGCTCGAGCACAAGAGCCTCCGCCTCCGTGCCTCCGCCGAGGCCGCGCAGCGCAGGCAGGCCGCGCTCCACGGCGCACGCCCGCAGAGCGAGCGAGCAGCTGCGTGCGCGCATGGTGGCGGCGACCATCCCTCGACACCGGAGCAATCTCCCCTCAGGCTCGAAGGAGATGCACTCGTCGTCGGCGGCGGCGGCGGCGGCGTCGGCATCATCGTCGTCGTCGTCGTCGTCGTCCGCCGCCGCCTCCATCGCGCGCGCGCACGCCACAACGTGCAAGCGGACGGCACGCGCCAGCGCCCCATCGCCGTGCTCCTCCACCCTCGCTCGCAACCGCACGAGCGCCTCGCCCTCCTTGCCCTCCTCGGCGAGGGAAGCTTCACGGGCGGCAGCGTGACCAGACGCCAGCGAAAGCTCCAGCTCCATCTGGCGAATCTCGCTCTTGCGCCCTTGGATGGCGCGCCTTGCCAAGCCAGTCCCCTCGCCGCCGTGAGTGAACCCACCCAAGCCCCTCGCCGTCCCGAGCGCATCGGCGGAGGCTTGGGGCGACGAGAGCGCGCTCCTTAGCAACAGCGTCCACGTGCCCGCGACGCTAGCGTCGGCGTGACCCGCCGGCAGCGGCTTGGTTGCCTCGGCGTACTCAGCTAGCACGGCGCATAATTGCTGCCCCGCCGATATAGCCGCCGCCTCAGCCGTTGCTGTCGCTTCCTCCAGCTCAACAAGCCGAGGGAGCGCCGCGGCAGCCTGCCCCAGCGCCGCGTGAGCGTGCTCCGTTGCACCCGGCATCGGCGCGGTCAGCTCCGCCAGCAGCGCGCTGCTGCCCCCCACGGAAGAAGCGGCGGCGGCAGCGGAGGCGGCGAAGCGCGCCTCCGCCTCGACGATGGCGCCACAGCGCACCGCCTCCACTGCACGGCTCGCCGCAGCATGCTGCGCGGCGCACACGTCGAGCGCGGCGTGCACCTCTGCAGCGCTAACCGCTGCCGCCGACGCCGCAGCCCCGAGCGCAGCGCTCGCTTCGTCGAGCTCCACTGCGGTCGCGGCGGCCTCCTCGCTGCAGCGCGCGTGCTCCGCGGCCGCGGCCTCGGCGTCAGCCGAGAGGGCCGCCCGCCTCGCCTCGGCCGGTCCGCGCGAGTCGTTCGCGTCCAGCAAGGGGCCGATTGCCGTCGTGAGGCGGCCGACGGCGGGGCTGAGCTCGGCGCGCCTGTGGGACAGCGAGCCGGAGTGAGAAAGGCGCGGGGTTCGCGCGGTGTAGGGCTGCACCGACGCGCCAGTGGGCGAGCGGTGCGACCAGCTCGTCGACGCGCGAAGCGGCGAGCGTGAGCGAGACCGACACCTCCGCCTCGCGCCGCTGCTCGTGCAGCAGCCGGTCGGCGCCCCACTCGGCGAGAGGCTCGTACACGAACGCCTCGAGGAGCGCGAGGATCGGCTCGCGCGCGGAGCGCAGCACGCGCAGCACCGCCACGCACGCCGACGTGAAGGGGCCTAGGGCCAAATTGCCCGAGTGACGACGCCAGAGTAGCCGGTAGGCAGCAAAGCGGGCCGGCAGAGCGGGCCGTCGACCCCCCACGGACCGAGCGCGCTGACCATGGCGGGAGTCATCCGGAACGGCACCGTCTCGGCGACCTTGAGCCGCAAGCCCTTCTCGAAGCACACGTTGTAGTCGATGTGCAGCAGCTCGCCCGAGGAGAGGTCGAGCAAGACGTTGTCGAGGTGCCGGTCGCCGAGGCCGACCACGTACCCAACCATCGAGTTGGTCGCGGCAGAGGCGGCGTAGGCGCGCGAGGAGGCCCAGCCGGCCGCAGCGTTTGCCGCGCGGCCCCACAGCTCGTGAGCGATCAGGTCGCGCGGCGTCTCTCGCATCAGCTCGAGCAGCACGCTGCGCAGCACACCGTGCGGCCACGCGCGGCGAGGCGCACCGGCGGGGACGCCAGCCTTGTGCAGCGCCGGTGTCAGCTTGGCGTAAAAGGTGTCGGCCGGCCGCGGCGTCTCGGGCGGCGACGCAGCCTGCGGCCGACCGCCTTCGCGCGGCGCAGCCTGCGCGGCGGCGTGCGAGAGCCGCGCCTCGTAGAGCGAGTAGAGCGGCGTCACGCCCTCCACCCACCGGATGAGGCCTGAGCGCTCGCTGAGAGGCAGCACCGCGTAGTGCCGGGCGCGCAGCCCTGCCGAGCCGTGCATCAGCCCGGTCGGAGAGGCGGCGCGCACGGCGCGGTCTGCGCGCAGCAGGCCGTTGACAGTGCGAAGGAGCTGCATGATGCGCGCGTCGAGGTGCAGGTCCTCGCGGCCCTGTGCGGGCATGGGAGAGTCTGAGTGCGGGCGCCTGCGCGTGCATGCGGGGCGGGGCCGGGGCGGAAGCCTTGAGGAGGTAGCTGTAGGCGCTGCCGTCTGTGCCGCGCAAGCCGAACCGCTTCGGCCGCGTCTTCGTCCGCAGCACGACGATGCCTCCCTCGAGCCTGTCGATGCACACGCCGCCGCCGCCGCCGCCGCCGCCGCCGCCGCCGTCGCGGGAAGCGCCTTCCGGGGCCGGCAGCTGCTGGCCGGTGGAATCGGGCGCGAGGCCGGGCATCGGGATGCGGCTCCCCGAGAGGTCGGCGAGCCGTGGCGAGAGGTGCGGCAAGTGAGGCACGCTCTGCTTGGCGAACGCGGCGATCTCCCGCTGCGCCGCGGCGAGCGGCGCCCAGCTGGTGGCGTACTCGCCGCGCCGGATGGCGTCGCCGAAAGCCGCCACCGCGTCGCGGAGTGAACGGCCCGGTCCGCGCTGGAAGGCGGCCTCGTGCGGCGTGGCGGCACGCCCGCTGACGGTGCGGAGCAGCGCGGCGAGGTCCGTGCGCACCGGCGCCATGATGACGGCGGACCGCTCGGCGAGGAGGCGGCCCTTGTCCTCGGGCGACAGGTGCTCGTTGGCGGCAACGCGCGCCTCCTCGTCGCGAAGCCTCGCGACTCGCGCCTCGGCATCCGCCTGCAGCGCGTGCAGCGCGGGCAGTAGCCGCTCCTCCCACAGAAGCGTCAGCCGGTGCAGCTCGCCGATGAAGCTCCCCAACTGAGCGACGAGCTCAGGGAAGGCTGCTCCCATCGCCCGCCGCAGCCACAGCAGTTCAGCGCGGCCGGACGCACCGGTGGCCGCCGCCTCGACCCCTGCCTCGGCTGCGCCCGCAACCTCGGCATCGTCCGCCAAGGGAGGAGAGGCTGAGGGAGGCGAGGCTGCCTCCGCCGGAGTCGCTCGACTCGCTTCCGCGACGGCGTCGTCTCCCTCGCCTCCCTCCTCGCACCCCGCCCGCGACGCGTCCTCCGCCTTCTCGCCGTCGGCCTCGCCTGCGGCGTCGGCCTGTCGCGAGAGAAGCGGGTAGAGGAGGGTCTCGGGGGCAGCGCGGCCCACGGCGAGCAGCAGCGCTTGCACGTGGTGCCTCACGCGCCGGTCGGGGTGCGGCAGCCGCGCGAGCAGCTGCGGCACGACTGCGGACCACGCAAGAGGCGGCGATCTGGCCAGCTGCTCGCCAAACTCGCGGAGGAACTCCTCGCCGAGCTCCTCCGAACCATGCCGGACGAGCAAGCGCAAGAGGCGCAGCGGCACCACTATGGTCGCATCCACCGACCGGTCAGCAGCCGCCAGGGCGAGGTAGTCGAACGATGCCGCAGCAGCTACGCGAACGGCCGAAGCCGGGGCGCTCGTGCCGGCGGAGAAGGCAGCTTGGTGGCACCAGTTGGCCCAGCGGAGCTTCACGGTGGCGTTGCGTGGGCAGCACGCCACTGCGGCACCGAGACATGCCTCTCTGAGCTGCTCGAGCGTAGCGGCGGCCGTGCCGTGCCTCTCGTTGGCCGGCTCGTCGGCGCCGGAAGCGGACCCGCTCTCTTCCCGGGCGGCCCGCGCCCATCGCGAGACCTGCGATGCCGTGCCGGGCGCTAGCATGCGCCCCTCGCTTGGAAGCCAGGACGCAAACTTGAGCAGCACTTTCGCACGGGTCAGGCCGAGGCCGCCGCTCGCTTGATCACCCGCACCCACTCGGATAGCGGCGCGGGCCTGCTCCCAAAGCGCGTCGCACGCGCCACGCACGTCCCCCTCGGCGTGCAGCAGCAAGACCTGCTCATATGCAGCCCGCTCGATCGCCCAACGCAACGGCACCGGCGCGGCCGCGGCGGCAGCTCCGGGGACGCACCGATCCAGTAGCCTCCGCGCCAAGCGGAAGTTGCGCTGGCGGCGCGCGAGCTTAGCCAGCCCAAGCCGCAGAGGCAGCATGTGCGGGCACGGGCGCTGGCACTGGATGTCAGCGCCGCCCGCCGCACTGTGGGCGCGCTCCTCCGCAAAGAGAAGCCGCAGCCACCACCCAGAGAGCGGCGCGCGCCCCTCGAGCAGCCGTGCGACCGCGTCGCAGCTCGGCCAAACGGACCGCCCGCCGCCGTCGCGCGAGAGGGCATCAAGCGTCGCGAGCTGCAGCGCGGCCGGCAGCACGCTCGGGCCGTGACTCGTCCCCCAGCCCGTATCGCTGTGGCTCGGGCCGGACACGCTGTGTAGTCGCAGAGCGCTGGTGGCACCCGCGACTGCAGCAGCGTCGATGGCTCCGCCCGGAGCCGAACTGCACCCCGCCAGCGCCTCGCACGACGCGAGCGTCTCGTCGGCCATCCAAGGCCAGAGGCCGCAGAGCGCGGCGGGCGTAGGCAAGTCTTGCCAATCGCCGATGCTCTCGTCGCGCCCGCCACTGTTGCCGCCGCTGCCGCCCGCGCCAAACGCGCCTGCACCCCACTGCGCTAGCCTCGCCATCGCAAGGAGCGTGGTTGGGCGCACGTGATTGGTGAAAGGCTGCGCTTGCGATTGTGCCTGCGGCTCGGGTGGCGGTGGCTGTGCGTGCCGATACGACGCCAGGACGTGCTGCCACTGGCCAAGCTCCCCCCAGTCCGCCAGCTGCGCGAGGCAGGAGGACGACCGCAATGCACAGAACGACTTTGCGGCGGGACTCTCGAGGAGAGTCTGCGACGTGGCCCGCCCACGCGCCGACTCCACGGGCTCCAGCAACGCCGCAAAGGCCGCGGCCGCCTCCTCCAGGTGCCTCTGGCCCTCGAGGCAAGCTGCGTCGAGCCACGGGGCCCACACCGCCGTCGCCGGGCGTGCTGCGCCCGCCCCGTTGGAACCAGCGGCGGCCGCCGCAACTGCAGCAACGAGCGGCGTGAGCTTGCGCCGCGTCCAAGCGCGCAAGCCTTCGAGAGCGTCAAAAGCGCCGAGGGAGAGCAACGCGCCCGCGAGAAGCATCGAGGTGTGCTCTGCATCGCGCAGCAGCGACTGCGCTTGTCGCAGTTCGCGCCCGCCGAGCGGCGGCGCCGCGTTACCCGCCGGCCCCTCAAAAGATGCCGCATCGCCGCGAGAGCGCGGAAGCAGCTGTGCAGCCGATGAGTGCAGCTCGCCCAGTCGGCACCACGCGTGGCGGGCCGCCGACGGGTGCTCGTCCAGCCGCGCAGCCAGCCGCGTAAGGCGTCCTCGGATCCGGCCGAACCACTCTGCGCAGACGCGTCGGTTGTCGGCGAAGAAGCGGAGCGGCGGAGCGGTGCGGCCGAAGCCGCCCTCGGTGGCGCCGGAGACTGCCGCCTCGAGGCTCTCGAGGAAGTGGAGGAGGGTGCGCGGGCCTTCGCTCGTCCGGCCCCCCTGCTCCCGCGGTGCGCCCGCAGCGGCGAGCGCGTCGACAAGGAGCGACTCCAGCGTCTCGAAGGTTGCCTGCGGGCGGGGGTGCGTTGATGTCGAGTGCGGCCATTACCGTGCTTTGGCGGGCGGTGGGCGTGGAGCAGCAAAAAGGGAGGGCATCAAAGCGGTGGTGATGGAAGGCTGCCACCTTGGGGCCACCAAAAGGCGAGCGGAGGCGAGCGGCGACGAGTGCAGCGGCTGCGTCGCGAGAGAGCCACCTGCCGTCGCAGCAGGGGCGGGGCGGGCGGGGGGGGAGGGGGGGGGGGGGGCTCCGAACTCGGCCTCGCACGAGAACGGCGTTGCGCACGATTCCGACATTAATTAATTCCAGCACGGCGCACCAGCTGCCGAGTGTAGGCAGCGGCCGGAGCACAGCCAATGGCGGTGGTGCCGGCGGCGTCACGGCAAGCGCCATCGCCGGACCGGTCAGCGGTGACGGGTCCGGCCTTCGAGCGGCGCAGCAGAAGAGGAGCCTGGCGGCGGCGGCGGCCTGCGGCGGCTCGCGGCCGGAGAGGGAGCGCAGCGCTAGCTCGAGCGTGGCTGGCGACAAGACGGGCAGCGTCGAGTCGGAGGAAGCGGCGGCGTGCGCCCATCGCTGGACCAGTGACCTCTTCGAGTGCGCTGCGAGCGCCTTGCCAGCGCCGGTGGCGGTGGCTAGGGCGGAGCCCGCCAAGAGGGACGAGCTGCTCGTCACACGTGGCTTTGCCGCAGCCGGGACCGAAGCGGCGAGCGTCGCGGGAGCAGCGGCAACGAGCAAAGCCGCGGCAGCGGCACGGCAAGCGGCGTCTGCAGCGTGCAGCTGAGCGAGCGCGCAATCGAGCGCCGCGCCGAGCGGTGGCACAAGCTGCCCTGGGGGCGAGCTGCGCAGCAGCGCGGCGGCGGCGTCGAAGCCCGCGGCGCGCACGGGAGCGGCGGCCGAGTGCAGGGAAGGGAGGAGAGCGCCGAGGATGGCAGCGGGTGGGTGGTCGAGCAGCTCCGAGCCGAGCCAGTGAGAGAAGCTGACGGTGGAGGCGTCGGAGGAAGAGGGCGGTGCCGCGGCAGCCTCGAGCGCAGCGGCGAGGGCGCGGAGCGAGAGCACCGCCTCTGCCGGCGTCGCTAGTGAGGAGACGTCCGCGAGGCCCTGCTCTCGAGAGGCGCCTCCGCCATCGCCCGCAATATCGCTGGCGAGCGGCTGCGCGCGCGCTAAGCGGACGGCTGAGAGGTTATCGCCACGCGCAGCTCGCGCCGCCTCGAGAGACTCGGCGTCGGCGACGGCCGAGAGCACCTCGAGGAGGAGCCGGCGCAGCGAGGCTGCCAAGGTCGCGAGGGCGGCATGCGCCGGCTTGCTGCTTTGGAGGCGCGGCGCTGGCAGCTGCAGCGCCTTGTTCCACACAGGCGCGAGCAGTGCCGCGAGGGAGGCGTGCCGGAGTCCTCGTCGACGGACGACGGAAGGCGCGCGCGTCGGGTGCGCAGCGCGCAGGAGCGCGTCGCACCCGGACAGTAGCGGCGCAGCGTGGCTGGTCTCGCTATGCAGCAACGCCGCGAGGGACATATGGAAGAGCAAGTGACGGACCACGTCGCCGCTTCCGCACTGACACCAATCCGCGGATGCGCCGCCGCCAGCGGCGCCGCTGCTTGCGCCGACAGCCGCGTCGCCTCCGCCGCCGTTGCCGCCGCCGCCGTTGCCGCCGCCGCTGACGCCGCCGCCGCCGCCGCTCCCGCTTGCACCGGCATCGATAGGACCGAGCTTAGCGACGAGCACGCGCACCTCCGCCAGCAGGCCCTGGTGGAGGGCCGCCGAGACGGGCGCGCTCGCGTGCAGCAGGATGTGCCTGTGCGCCGCGAGCAGCTTTGAGAGCACGGCGGGCTCGGAGCGGAGGCGGAGGGCGGGCAGCGGCGAGGGGACGCCACGCGCGACCTCGGCGCCTCCGAGGAAGTGGCGCGGCGCGGCCGTGGGGAGGGCGGCCCCCTGGGCCAGCATGAGGCGGTTGAGGAGGCCGAGCGTGTGCGCGACTGAGCCGCTCGGCAGGGCCTCGACCGAGCTGTTGCCGCCGCTCGCCGCCGTCCGCAAGCGCAGCAGCAGCAGCGCGGCGCCGTTGGCGTGGTGCGGCGCGAAGGCGGTGCGCAGCGTGTCGGCGAGCATGAAGACGCAGTCCGACGCTGCCGCCACGAAGGACGCCGCGTCGGCGGCCGGCAGCGCCGCCCCCTGCCTCGCCTCGCTCGCCGGGCAGAGCCACGCGCCGGCCTCGAGCAGGCCGCCGAGGACCGCGAAGGTGAGGTCGGCGCCTCGCGCGGCGCCGAGGAAGAGGTCGCGCCCGAGGCCAAAGGCCAGCGCGCCGTACGCCTCGCTGAGCCGCTCGAGCCGCCGCGCCGCCACCAGCGACAGCTTGCCTGCTCCCGCGGCGCCGTTGGCGGCGGAGGCGTCGGCGGCGGCCTCGGCGGCGGCGGAGACGCGGTGCGCTTCGCCCTGGATGTCGCGCGCGAGCGTGGCGACGACCGAGGAGCCGAACGGCTCGGCCGCCTTCCACAGCGTCTCGAAGCGGCAGAGCGCGTTGGCGAGCTGCCGGCACGCCGCGGCGGGCGAGGAGGGGTCGAGTGCCCAGCCGAGCAGCAGGTCCACGATCGGGACGAAGCGTGGACGGAGCGAGGCGACCATCTGCTCGGGCGACAGGCCGGCGAGCAGCTCGATCATTTGCGGGTAGAGCGCCGAGCCGGTGGCGCCGCCCAGAGCCACCACCCAGTCGAGGAGCGGGCCGAGGTTTGGCGAGAGCACGGCGCCGAGCGAGCCAAAGAGCGGCGGAACCTGCGCCCGCACCGCGTCGGTGCCGTGGAGCAGCCGGCCGAGGACGTCGAGCACGGAGCCGGGAGACGCGCGCGCCTGCGCTGCGCCCTCGGTGGTGCCGAGCGCGCTCCGCAGCTTGGAGGCAGCAGCAAGCTTCTTCGCCGCCGGCGCGCTGCCGGGACGCGCGAGCTCGACGAGCGCCGCGCCGAGCTTGCTCATTGGCGGCGCGACCGCCACCGTCGGCTGCATTTGTATCCTTTCGCCTAAAGACTAGCGCATGCTGGAAGACAGCGCCGAGGGGGCAGCAGTAACGCGGAGAGTGCGGTGTTATTTCTTGTGGTCCTTTGCCCGTGCCGGGGAAAGAATTCTTAAGATACAAGCCTCTCTCACAGCACACTGGCACGACAAGGGCGCAGACTGGCGCGGACTGGCACACACACAGGCTCACCACCGGAGCCAGAAACAAAGAAGTTCCCGCCGGAGAACGTGCCAGGGGCCACAAGGGGGGAAAGGGAGGTCGGCACGCCGCCACCCTCACCAGGGATAAAGAAAGAAAGAAATAAAACACGCGCCAAGTGCTCCAAGACAAACCAAACGAGGGATGGGAGGAGGACAAGGTCCCCACCTGAGAGAGAGATTTTAGAAAACCAACAAGAAATCACGACGCCCACCTCCACGAGCAGGATCTTCTAAGGACGATCAGGGACACAGGGGAGGAACGGGAGAGAGAGTGGGGAGCGCATCGCGAGTTCGCGACACGGAGGGGGACTGGGCAGGGTTCACCCACACGACAGGGTCCCAGGGAAAGAAAGAAAGAAAGAAAACAGCCACCAAACGAGAGGGATGGGGAGGAGGACAGGGTCCACACCTGCACGAGCAGGATTTTGGAAGGACGATCAGGCGGGGCACAGGTGGGCTCTCCTGCTCCTGACAAAGTTGTCTCCCTCCACTGCCCCGATCGGAGTTTCTTTTTGTGTGCAAACGGGCCAGTGCGCCACGAATACGGCGCCTCCGCCCCGATCCCATGCTGCTGTTCTGTACACCGTTCGCCCCTCCTGCGGGCTGCGGGCGGCGCTCGGCGCCAGCGGTGATGGCAGCACCGCTCGTCTCGCGCCCTTCGCACGACGTCACCGCGGGCCGGCCGCCGATCGAGTGGTACCCGGGCCACATCGCAAAGGCCGAGCGGCTGATGACGGAGGTGCTCTCGATGGTGGACGTGGTGGTCGAGCTGCGCGACGCCCGCATCCCCGACTCGACCGCCCACCCGATGCTCGCGTCATGGATCGGCTCGCGCGGGCATATCCTCGCGCTCAACCGGATGGACGCGGCTCCGGCGCCGTCGCTGACAGAGTGGGCCGCCGCGATGGGCGCCGGCGGGCAGGCGCCCGTGCTCATCGACGCCAAGAAGGGCGGCGGCGTGGCGGAGCTCAAGCGCGAGATCCTCCGGGCGGGCGCGCATGTCAACGCACGGCTCAAGCGGCGCGGCATCAACCCTCGTCCGGTGCGGGCGGCGGTGCTCGGCTACCCGAACGTGGGCAAGTCGGCGCTCATCAACCGGCTGGTCGGGCGGCGAAAGGCCAAGAGCGAGAACCGGCCGGGCGTGACGCGCGGCTTCAGCTGGGTGCGGATCGACTCGCAGGTGCAGCTGCTCGACTCGCCCGGCATCATCCCGGCGAAGCAGGTGTCGCAGCGCGTCGCGTACCGCCTCGCCATGTGCGACGACATCGGCGCCGCGGCCTACGACCCGCAGGCGGTCGCGAGTGCGCTCCTCGAGGTACTGCTGTGGCTGCAGCGCCTGTCCCTCGCGGGACGCGTCCTTGACACGTCCCTCGCCGCACAGGCGCTCGTCCTCGCCGAGGCGGAGAGGCCTGCGTACGTGCGGCTCGACAAGCTGCGCGAGCGATGGGGCGTGCCGACAGACGAGTGCTCGTGCGGCGAGGAGTACGTGGCTCAGCTGGCGGAGGAGCGATTCACGGGCGACGTGCAGCGCGCGGCGACGACGCTGCTCAAGGACTTCCGCTCGGGCAGCCTCGGCCGGCTCTGCCTCGAGTGGCCCGCAGAGGGGCAGGGCGAGGAGCGGTGACACACGGTGCCGCCTCGTTTTTCGTCGGATCATACATGCATACAGTGTAACATCTCGCTCACACAAAAACCGCCACCTTGTGACGGTGCCCTGGCAAAATCGTCCCGATTTCGATGCGCGATTTAGCTAAGTCCCAGAGCCGTTTACCCATGAGCGGGCCCCCTCACCAGCCTAGGGCTCGCGCTTCTGGCCCGAGGTGTCGCCGCTGCCTCCCGCGCCCTCCGGCGCCTGCTGCTACTGCCGGTCGGCCGGTCGGGTCCGCGCGACGGCTCCATCCTCGAGACGCGGTCGCTGAGCGCTTTCTCGACCGCTACGTCTTCCGGTGCACCCACCCACCGCGACCCTCGAACCTGCGCTGCGCGGCGCAGTTGCTGCCGAGCGAGCCGCGCAGGGGCGGCATCACCAGACGCTACCGCATGGCCGAGCAGCGAGCAATAACTAACCATTCGTGTTGAATTGCCTTATCCGTTATCGCTTATCGACAAACGGGGATTTTAAGTGTTGGAGAGTGTGAACTCAAACCTACTTCCTGACCGTAGCCTGACCGTCCTTACGGTGGCCGGAGCACCACCCACTAGCTGCATGATCACCGGCCGATCACCTGGTCACCGATCACCGGCCTTTGGAGAGTTCTATAGGACTTATCTATTCAGACGGTGATCGGTGATCAAGTTTCGGCGGCACGTAACGTCCAAAACAAGGCCACGACTGTCGTCCCCCACCTTCTTAGAGGTATGGGAGCCGCTGGCACCGCGCTGGGCGCCGCGGATGCACGTACGAACGAACATTATGAAATCGGGACGATTTTGACCCAAAAATCACAAGGTGAAGATCCGATCCGAGCAGCAGCACAGGATCCGAGCCGCGTGTAAATCGATGTCGAACGGCTCGGCCGCCTTCCACAGCGTCTCGAAGCGGCAGAGCGCGTTGGCGAGCTGCCGGCACGCCGCGGCGGGCGAGGAGGGGTCGAGTGCCCAGCCGAGCAGCAGGTCCACGATCGGGACGAAGCGTGGACGGAGCGAGGCGACCATCTGCTCGGGCGACAGGCCGGCGAGCAGCTCGATCATTTGCGGGTAGAGCGCCGAGCCGGTGGCGCCGCCCAGAGCCACCACCCAGTCGAGGAGCGGGCCGAGGTTTGGCGAGAGCACGGCGCCGAGCGAGCCAAAGAGCGGCGGAACCTGCGCCCGCACCGCGTCGGTGCCGTGGAGCAGCCGGCCGAGGACGTCGAGCACGGAGCCGGGAGACGCGCGCGCCTGCGCTGCGCCCTCGGTGGTGCCGAGCGCGCTCCGCAGCTTGGAGGCAGCAGCAAGCTTCTTCGCCGCCGGCGCGCTGCCGGGACGCGCGAGCTCGACGAGCGCCGCGCCGAGCTTGCTCATTGGCGGCGCGACCGCCACCGTCGGCTGCATTTGTATCCTTTCGCCTAAAGACTAGCGCATGCTGGAAGACAGCGCCGAGGGGGCAGCAGTAACGCGGAGAGTGCGGTGTTATTTCTTGTGGTCCTTTGCCCGTGCCGGGGAAAGAATTCTTAAGATACAAGCCTCTCTCACAGCACACTGGCACGACAAGGGCGCAGACTGGCGCGGACTGGCACACACACAGGCTCACCACCGGAGCCAGAAACAAAGAAGTTCCCGCCGGAGAACGTGCCAGGGGCCACAAGGGGGGAAAGGGAGGTCGGCACGCCGCCACCCTCACCAGGGATAAAGAAAGAAAGAAATAAAACACGCGCCAAGTGCTCCAAGACAAACCAAACGAGGGATGGGAGGAGGACAAGGTCCCCACCTGAGAGAGAGATTTTAGAAAACCAACAAGAAATCACGACGCCCACCTCCACGAGCAGGATCTTCTAAGGACGATCAGGGACACAGGGGAGGAACGGGAGAGAGAGTGGGGAGCGCATCGCGAGTTCGCGACACGGAGGGGGACTGGGCAGGGTTCACCCACACGACAGGGTCCCAGGGAAAGAAAGAAAGAAAGAAAACAGCCACCAAACGAGAGGGATGGGGAGGAGGACAGGGTCCACACCTGCACGAGCAGGATTTTGGAAGGACGATCAGGCGGGGCACAGGTGGGCTCTCCTGCTCCTGACAAAGTTGTCTCCCTCCACTGCCCTGATCGGAGTTTCTTTTTGTGTGCAAACGGGCCAGTGCGCCACGAATACGGCGCCTCCGCCCCGATCCCATGCTGCTGTTCTGTACACCGTTCGCCCCTCCTGCGGGCTGCGGGCGGCGCTCGGCGCCAGCGGTGATGGCAGCACCGCTCGTCTCGCGCCCTTCGCACGACGTCACCGCGGGCCGGCCGCCGATCGAGTGGTACCCGGGCCACATCGCAAAGGCCGAGCGGCTGATGACGGAGGTGCTCTCGATGGTGGACGTGGTGGTCGAGCTGCGCGACGCCCGCATCCCCGACTCGACCGCCCACCCGATGCTCGCGTCATGGATCGGCTCGCGCGGGCATATCCTCGCGCTCAACCGGATGGACGCGGCTCCGGCGCCGTCGCTGACAGAGTGGGCCGCCGCGATGGGCGCCGGCGGGCAGGCGCCCGTGCTCATCGACGCCAAGAAGGGCGGCGGCGTGGCGGAGCTCAAGCGCGAGATCCTCCGGGCGGGCGCGCATGTCAACGCACGGCTCAAGCGGCGCGGCATCAACCCTCGTCCGGTGCGGGCGGCGGTGCTCGGCTACCCGAACGTGGGCAAGTCGGCGCTCATCAACCGGCTGGTCGGGCGGCGAAAGGCCAAGAGCGAGAACCGGCCGGGCGTGACGCGCGGCTTCAGCTGGGTGCGGATCGACTCGCAGGTGCAGCTGCTCGACTCGCCCGGCATCATCCCGGCGAAGCAGGTGTCGCAGCGCGTCGCGTACCGCCTCGCCATGTGCGACGACATCGGCGCCGCGGCCTACGACCCGCAGGCGGTCGCGAGTGCGCTCCTCGAGGTACTGCTGTGGCTGCAGCGCCTGTCCCTCGCGGGACGCGTCCTTGACACGTCCCTCGCCGCACAGGCGCTCGTCCTCGCCGAGGCAGAGAGGCCTGCGTACGTGCGGCTCGACAAGCTGCGCGAGCGATGGGGCGTGCCGACAGACGAGTGCTCGTGCGGCGAGGAGTACGTGGCTCAGCTGGCGGAGGAGCGATTCACGGGCGACGTGCAGCGCGCGGCGACGACGCTGCTCAAGGACTTCCGCTCGGGCAGCCTCGGCCGGCTCTGCCTCGAGTGGCCCGCAGAGGGGCAGGGCGAGGAGCGGTGACACACGGTGCCGCCTCGTTTTTCGTCGGATCATACATGCATACAGTGTAACATCTCGCTCACACAAAAACCGCCACCTTGTGACGGTGCCCTGGCAAAATCGTCCCGATTTCGATGCGCGATTTAGCTAAGTCCCAGAGCCGTTTACCCATGAGCGGGCCCCCTCACCAGCCTAGGGCTCGCGCTTCTGGCCCGAGGTGTCGCCGCTGCCTCCCGCGCCCTCCGGCGCCTGCTGCTACTGCCGGTCGGCCGGTCGGGTCCGCGCGACGGCTCCATCCTCGAGACGCGGTCGCTGAGCGCTTTCTCGACCGCTACGTCTTCCGGTGCACCCACCCACCGCGACCCTCGAACCTGCGCTGCGCGGCGCAGTTGCTGCCGAGCGAGCCGCGCAGGGGCGGCATCACCAGACGCTACCGCATGGCCGAGCAGCGAGCAATAACTAACCATTCGTGTTGAATTGCCTTATCCGTTATCGCTTATCGACAAACGGGGATTTTAAGTGTTGGAGAGTGTGAACTCAAACCTACTTCCTGACCGTAGCCTGACCGTCCTTACGGTGGCCGGAGCACCACCCACTAGCTGCATGATCACCGGCCGATCACCTGGTCACCGATCACCGGCCTTTGGAGAGTTCTATAGGACTTATCTATTCAGACGGTGATCGGTGATCAAGTTTCGGCGGCACGTAACGTCCAAAACAAGGCCACGACTGTCGTCCCCCACCTTCTTAGAGGTATGGGAGCCGCTGGCACCGCGCTGGGCGCCGCGGATGCACGTACGAACGAACATTATGAAATCGGGACGATTTTGACCCAAAAATCACAAGGTGAAGATCCGATCCGAGCAGCAGCACAGGATCCGAGCCGCGTGTAAATCGATGTAATATTATACGCTATACCTGACAGATATCACCTATCGGAGATAAGTGACGCCCGCCCACCACGCGTGATATAACGCCTGATATAAACACGCTTGATATATACATGTTTGCAATGGGTTACTGGCGTTGTCCGAGGGGCATACCCGTAGCCCATAAAATCGAGCGACCGACTGAGAACCGCAGCTAATAGAAGAGATATCATACCGCCCGCCCGACGGCTCACGTCCCTCACCGCGTCACCCCAGCCACCGCTTCGAGCCGATGTCCGGGATGCGCGCTACGCGGGGAGGACCAGACCGGCTCGACTCGCTGCACGCCGGCCGCGGCGCGCTGCATGCAGCGGCACTGCTCGCGGAAGAAGCGGCGCTGCGTCGAACTCAGCGCGGGGAACAGGAGCTTACCCAGCGGACCAGCGCCACGGGAGTGCGATACCACCTCAAACGCGACCTCGTCCGTCTCGCGAGACCAGACGACGTCCATCTTCTCCTCGCCTTCAAGAAGGTGCCCGCTCAGCGTCGAGTAGCCAACGGAGCACCGCCGGCGGCCGACTCGCCGCCGAACCGCCCGGCAGGGGTTGCTCACCCACAGCAGCGGGAGGCGCGGGCTGGGCAGCGCAGCCAGGGTGACAAGACTGCGTCCCGGCGGGTCCTCGACCAGCACCGCGGACCAGGTGCTGCCCTCGTGCATCTCCCAGCTGAGCAGCCTGCGCCGCGCACGGCGCCAGCAGGCGCGGCCGTGGCCGAGTGGCACGCGCATGGCGATGACGCGAAGCGAGCGAGCTGGGGTGCCGCTAGCAGGTGCCCGCGCCAGGTGGATGTCGTGATTGATGGCGCGGTCGGCGATCGACGCCGCAAACGCAGTAAGCGACTCGTCGCTCGGCCGAACACGGTGGAGACGCGTGGCGTCGGTGGAGGCCGCGAGTAGGACGGTGATCAGGCGCGTCATGGGGAAGAGCGGCACCGGGTTTTCTGAGAGAGAGGCTAGTATTTTAAGAATTCTGAGAGATCTTCGTTGTTAATAGTACTCTTCTTCTGGGCACGACTCTTTGAACGTGTGGGCGGCAGCTGTCTGTTTACAGGCGCTGGCCGCCCGCGCGCGCGCCGGACCGGCTCCGGCACGTCCGGCGCTGGGCGGCGCGCGTCCACACTGCGCGTCGCGCAAAAGGCGAGCGCTCGCCGCCGCTACGGCGGCGGCGGCGGCCGACGGCCGACGGCCGACGGCCGACGGCCGACGGCCGACGGCCGACGGCCGACGGCCGACGGCAGACGGCAGACGGCAGACGGCATACGGCCTAGGGCTCGGCTGGGCGCGCACGCGCACGCGCGCGCGTCGCGCGCCACGCGTCGCTCCGCGAGGGCGCGCGCCAACCGCGATTCGAACCGGGGCCAAAAGGCGCCTGGAGCGACCGCGGTCCGGTCGCGCCACCGCGGCTGCGGGGCTGATAGAGCAGGCCGGCTGCGGCTCCTGATGTACCTCCGCTTTTGGGTGGCGGTCGCGCGCTGCCGACGGCGCTCGCCGGCGCTCGTGCCAGTGCGCGCCAGTGCGCGCCAGTCCCGTGCCAGTAAAAAGAAAGAAAACAGACAACCCAAGGGAGGGTGGGAGGACGGCACACCGCCACCACACATCTCCCTTCGCAGTCCCTCGCCGCTTCTTGCTGCAACCTTCATGCCACCTCGCGGTCGTCCCACTCTCGTCGTTCTCCCTCCTGTCGCTTCCTCCTCTGTCGCGTCGCTCTCGTCTGCCTCGTCCTGCGACGCCGCCGCCGCCTGCCGATCCCTTGCTCTCGCGGCTTCTCCCGCCTTTCGACGCAACTCTGCCCTCCTCGCGGCATATTTTGGCCCCTCGAGTTTATCGAGCTCTCCTCGCGCAAGGACGACTCTTCTGACGCCCACTGCGATCATTTGCCGCCAAGTCATATCGTTGCTCAGGTCCACTCTCTCTTCGCCGTGACGCGCCCCGCCTCCCGACTCGCGCCCCGCCCCGGTGCGCACGTCTCTTCAACAGGCACACAGGCCGTACGCTGGCGCGGGCGCGCGGTCCTTGGCCCTGCGTCGCGCCTCCGCCTCGATCTCCTTGAGGCACGCCTTGCACTGGCTCTTGCGCCCGTCGTGCCGCAGCCCGTCCTTCCTGAACTCAGTGAGCTCCTTGAGAGCGCGCCGCACTCCATGCACAGCTTCATGCCTGAGGGCGTCATGTCCCGTGTTGGGCTCAACACAACAGCCCACGATGCCGCGTCGAGATCGCGGACGTCGGACGCCTGCATTTAGAGATTTCTGTTTTCTGTTTAGATAATTGTAATGGCATTCAGTGACAATGCTTACGACTTACTGCTACGGTACATCTACAAGATAAGGGCTCGGCTGCGGGCGAGACGAGAGGCGGCCGTAAGAGCGCTGCGGCAGACACCGGCTCAGTGGATGCAAGACCTCCGGCATTCCAAAGTCGAATGGGATTTACACCAAACACACTCAGGCGCGACGAACCCCACCTACATGACTGGCCGAAGTGGCGCATGGCCATGGACAACCCGAGTGCCTAACCCAAGTATCGACAGCTGGTGGAGCGATGGCATTGAGTAACATACTTAGCGTGACACGCTCCCAAACTTAGCGTGACACGCCCGAGATTGCAATCACCCCCAGGGTTCGGCTCCAGTGTGGGTAGGGTATCCCCTACCCCCAGGGAGGGCGAACCCAAACTGGACGCGCGTCTCGGGACTATATGCACATGGCCAAGTTTTTGCGAACTTGCCCGAGGCGATGCTCAAGCAGATCCTGGGCTTGTTCGAGTGGAGCCCGCGCCCCCCCGCCGCCGCCGCCGGGTGTGCGGTGAACCATTAGCATTCTACGAGAGGTGAGACACCACCAGCGGCTCTGGCTTGTGCGGGCGCATGATGCTTGTGCGAGACCGGCCACCTGGGCGGCTGGGCGGGCCCCCAGCGGCGCGCCGGCTAGGGCTGCCTAACGTTAGGAGCTGTGAACAGTGTTGCTAGTGTTAACAGTAACAACAGAACAACAGACAGACAACAGGTGGGGCTCCCTTCCAACATGCAACATGCAACAACACAGTAGCTAACGTCAGGCCGACTGGAACAACAGTAAGGATGGCCTGGCAGTGACCCACGACCTAGTGTCCAGTGCGGTAAACTAATACCCGAAAATACCCGGGAAAACCCCAGGGGGGGGGGGGTCGGGTTTTTGCTTTTACCCGGCACGCCGGCTCCACCGCCCGCCGGGGTTTTACTTTTTTGGATTTTGCCACATTTTTTCTGCTTTTTGCTGCACGAATGGTTGTGAACCACAGAGATGATGGAGGCGCTCGCCGCGTGCGGCGATTGAGCGCCTCCCTCTCTCTCCGGCTGCGCGCCTGACCGGTGCGGCCTCCGAGTCGGCGTCTAGCGCGCGTGATAAGGTTTTTGCTCGCCTTCCCTGGGACCCCGTGCTGCGTGACTGTCTCTGTGCGATTTCGGGCCCGGGGTTGTGCGTTTATGTGAACAACACCTCGTGACCACAACTCCGCAGGCGCCTGTTGATGGGTCCAGTGATAGCCCTGGATGGGCAATGCATATGCCTAGTTGGACCTCAGATCGCCCGACCGCGTCCCGGTGCTCTGCGTTCGGATTTGTGACGCCGCCACACCGTGCGGGGGGGGCCCTCCGGAGGCCGAGGATGGCCGTGGCGGACCGGGACGAGCTCTGGGAGGTAAAGTGTCAGTGTATATATTGTAGAGACCAACCATGTGCACAATATCTTTCAGTCCAGCTAAGCCAGGGGAGGCGATTCCGGGGCCGTGCAGCAGCTTGATGGTGCTTCGCCGGCGTGCGTCCCGGAGCGGTGCCGGACGGGCGGTCCGTGGGACAAAATCGGGGGACAACGCCGACAACGCTCTGATTCGACTTTTAACTTCAAACAAAGCCTACCGCACGCGCCGCGACGCGGCGCGTGCGGTAGGCACTCGGGATTTTGTCAGATCGGCGTGTTCACGCGGGGATCGTGTCCCCCACAACCTGCCCAACCATTCGCGGCGACGAGTAACAACAATAACAAACAGTAACAGCATGGGCTGGGGTGAACACTTGAACAACGTTACGTCGTTGAGGATTTCAGCCAACAATAGTGCTGTTAGACCCAAAGTTAACGTGTTAGCCAGTTAGGCAGCCCTCTCGTACGACACCTACCTACGTGCTACGAGAGCGCCCCCCGCGCGGCGCGTCCCGGCGAGTGTGAGCTGTGAAAGAGCGATCGCGCGCCAGTACACACCGGGTGTTTGTGAATGTTGCATGTACGAACGAATTTACGCGCCACATCGCGGCCATGACAACAACACAATACACATGACACATATATCATCTTCGTAAGGCACGAGCGACCTAGGCGCACGAGCCTCGTACGCCGCGGCGTGTCAGTACTGGACACACCCCGACCCGGGAAATCGTGGGGATCACAGAGTCAGAGAACACAGCTGCGGGAAGGGAGCAGAGACGTCGGGGAGAGTCGAAAGCTGGAGCTCGTGGCGTCGCGAGAGAGACCACCGACTCCTCACGCCGTCGTTGCGTTCAGAATAGAGTCAGCGCAGACGGCGCCTCTCCTCTTTGCGCACACCTCGGTGTAGACGACGCTGAAGAAGGCGGACGAGGCTGCGATGACGAAGACGTGCCAGATGGCGACGTGGCCCTCGAGCCGCCTGATGCCCCACGGCACCAGGCCGACGGTGTAGAGGACGCCCCCAGTCACAAACATCTGGCACGCCCACCGGCTGAAGTTGGCCGCCACGCTCTCCCATGCGATGAGCACGCTCCACCCCATGAGGAGGAAGCAGACCACGTGCAGCGGCAGCCGGTCGAGCCATCCGCGCGACGCCTTGGCCGCGATGTCGAAGACCCCGACCGCCCACACAAACGAGAGGAGCCGCCACGCGCAGGTGCAGGCCATCAGCGGCGTATACGTGCCCACGATCAGCAGGACGATCCCCGCGTGGTCCGCCTGGCTGAGCTCGACCGCCCGGTGCTTCCACACGACCTGGCCGCTGTTGTACACCGCCGAGCACGAAATCATCGCGAGCAGCGTGAAGCCGTACAGCGCGACCGACCCCACGATCTCTGGCGGCGGCCGGAGGTCCCACAGCCGTAGCGCGAGCAGCAAGTTGCCGGCGGCGGCGAGGAGGATGCCCACCGCGTGCACCAGGAAGTCAGAGGCGAGCTCGCGCCGGCTGTAGAACCGCTGTAGCGGATACCACTCGATGGTGTCCTTCCAAGGCCCAGGAGCGGAGCCTCGGACCAGCATCATTGTCGACGCGCGGGCAGTCTTTCCGACCACCTGCGGCGTCCTGACTCACGCCACGGCTCGTCGCTCACGCCACGGTCGTCGCTCACGCCACGGTCGTCGCTCACGCCACGGCTCGATGCTCACGCCACGGCTCTGCAAGACACCGCGGCCGAGCCAGCTGGACACCCTTGTTCCTCGTCGGCGACAAAGAATAGTCCGTCAAGTGAGCCCTGCGCTAATACGCTCACACACAAAAAAGGGGCTGTGTGTTGTGTCCAAGAAGCACAAGCAAGCAAAAGACAGTAGAGAAGGGAGAGATAGCAACGACAGTCAGAAGCCAGCGCTCACGCTGCTCGTGAAACGGGTGGGGACTTCGGGACTTGGCGTGTCTGGTATTCTTTCTTTCTGTCTTTAAACGGGTGGGGACCTTGTCCTTCTCCCATCCCTCGTTTGTCCTGCATGTTTTCTTTCTTGACGGGTGGTTGTTTGGGTTCTGCTGTGTTTTCTTCTTTTGTTTTTTGTTTTGTCGGATTTGAGAGTGCGTTTTTAGCAATACCAAACAACTCTAAGAGAGAGATTTTTAGCAACTCTAAAGTTGTTTGTGATTTGAGAGTGATTTTTAAACACCAACCAGTTAGGATTATGATGATGAGATTGGTAAGGGGGGGGGGGGGGGGGGGGGCTGGGCTGTAAGTAATGACGACCCTCGCTGGGACGGGGCACTCACTGCGTGTAAGGCAAAAGGCGGCCCCTCTCCTCCTTACCAATCCAACCGCGTCGCTAGGGCCGTGAAGTCCAGCAGAAAGCACAAGCAGCAGCATGGGTACTCTTGCCCGCCCGCCTCTCACAGACCACGGCGCCCCCGCTCTTCGACACGCGCCTCGCCGCCCGCTGCAGGTTGGGAGGAGGCCGCCGCGAACTTCCCGGAGATCCCGAAGGGCCGCTCCGCCCGCAAGATCTGGATGGATGCCGGGGTGCGCGCGCCGCCGAGCGAGAGTAGGCGTCACTCCGCGTTGACGCCTCACCGTTGAATTTCCGCAGACCTACCCGCTCTTTGCCGTGATCGGCCTCGCCTCGGCCGTCTGCGGTGGATTCCTCTTCAAGTACTTTGCCGGCCACACCGACATTGCGCTGAGCCGGGCGGTGCGCACCTCGCCTCCTGCCCAGCCGCCGCCCCCCCGCCGCCGGCGGCGCGCCGTTCCCCGACCCTCGCCGCTCGCTCCCAGGTCCGCGCCGACCACAACCACCAGGGCGGAACCGACGGCCGCGTCGAGTCGCACAACTCGCGCTTTGGCATGCGCGAGATGAACAAGCGGACGATCACCATCTTCCCCTTCAACTGGAAGCCGAAGTCCGGTGCGTGCGCGCACGCTCCACACGTTCGAAGACCCTGCACGACCCACGCTCCCTGACGCCCGCCTCTCCCCCCTCCGCCCGCAGCCATCATTGAGCAGCACCGGTCCGATTAGACGCCTCGGGGCCAAGGCCCCTTGCCTTGGGGGCGACTCCTGTGCCTGTGTCTCTTGCCTGTGGCGTGTGCGGCGATTGTGCGCGTAGATGTGCATCGGATGCACGCTCGCGACACTCTTGCCTCGATGTTGCTGTTGTTACGCAGTCGCGCTTGGCGTGGCGGGCGGCTCCCTTGCGAGAGCGCAAGGCGCCACGCCCGCACCCCGCCTTGACGCGCGCGCAGCGCGGCGTGTACGTGCGTGCCAGCGCCTGCATTTTACTAATTTATTCAACGTTACGCGTTGAAAGCTGAAAGCCGACACTTGCCTCCTGCGACCTGCGCCGACCGAGACGCACAAGAGCACCCTCGCGGTCGCGCCCCCGCGCGCATTCGGATTCGCGCCGGATTCGGTACGACACACGGAAGACGGATACACGCCCCATACAATAATGCCGATGCGCGATATACCCGCCACAGCCGGAGTGATCTCAGACAGATCTCAGACCTCCACCTCCACCTCATCGCCGCCGCCGCGTGGCAGCAGCGCCTCTGCAGCCTCCTTGCTGCCCCCCGCTCCTGCCTTCGCCGCCGCCTCCGCCGCCGCCTCCGCCGCCGCCTCCGCCTCCGCCTCTGCAACCCGCGCCGCGTGCTCGGCGCGGATGTTCGCGACCACCGCCTGCACCACCTCGGCGGGCGGCATCGGCACGTCGGGCCGCGTCTTGCGCAGCTGGACGAGCGCTCCGACGGCGGCTGCTTTCGCCGGCTCGACGGGCGAGGAGGAGAGGGTGATCAGCGCGCCGACGGCGGTGAGGGCGGGCCCGGGCAACTCCGACTGGTCGGTCGGGGCGGCCGGGCCGAGGATGGCGTCCGCGTTGTTGTTGAACAGGTTTGCGAGCCCGACGGCGGCGCGGTGGAGCAGCGGCGGGTCGTCGGAGAGCAGGGCGATGTTGACGAGCGGCTCGAGCGCGCCCGCGCCGAGGAGCGCGCTGCCGATCTCGGGGTCGCCGGCGAGGGTCGCGATCGCACCTACGGGCGGGTGTGCGGAGGACGGCTGTCCGGAGGGCGGGTGGGAGAGGGGCGTGGCAGCCTCGGGCGGCGGCGGGTCGTCTGCACCCGACGCGGCGAGCTGCGCCTTCGGGTCGTCCGAGCCGCAAAAGCCGACGAAGATCTTCGCCTCGGTCGAGCCGGGCTCGGCGAACTTTGCGGCCACCTCGTCGGCGGTGGTGAGGTTGGACATGGCCTCGAGGGCGGCGCGCTGCACGAGCTCGTTCTCGCAGGCGAGGCTCATCGTGAGGGTGCGCCAGCCGCCGCAAGTCAGGATGCGCTGCTGCAGCTCGGGGTGTGTCGCGAGGTTGCAGAGGGCGAGGCACGCCTCGAACTGTTGCAACTCATGCTCGGCCCCGTCGACGAGCCGCAGCAGCGGCTTCACCATCGACTCTGGGCCGGAGCCGGGCCGACGCGGGTAGGCGACTGGGTTGATCGAGATGCCAACCTTGGCGAGGGCCCACGCGGCGGAGGTCGCGGTCGGCTCGTGCTCGCACAGGGCGCAAGTGAGCAGCGCCTTGAAGCCTCCCTGCGCCACGATCTTGCCGCGCGCCTCTGGCGTCGTCGCCATCGAGAGCAGCACGCGCGCCGCGGTGTGCAGCGTGCTCGCGCCGCTGCCGCCGGGGCGCGAGGCTGCCGCCGCCACGAGCTCGGCCAGCACGAGCACCGCGTCGTCCTCGACGAGGGTGGCGGCGAGCTTGGTGAGTACCGCAGGGTCGTCCTTGCGCTCGCTCGGCGCGGCGCCGCCCGCGCCACCCGCGGCGAGCTGGCGCATCTGCTCGATCTGCGCCTCGTCCATCTCCTGCGGGGCATGTCTCGGACATGTCATGGACGTGTCCTGGATGTGCGCTCGACCTGCGCCTCGTGCATCTCCTGCTCCAGCCGCTTCTGCTCGTCGCTCTTCTCGCGCGGCGCGCAGAGGGCGCCGAGGGCGGAGACGAGCGCGTGGTGGAGGGAGGGGTCCTTGCTTGCCGAGTGCGCGACGGCGACGAGGGAGCCGAAGCGCGCGCCCGTCTCGGCGAGGTGCTCCTGTCGGCTCGGGGCCGGGGTCGGGCGAGGGAGGAGGAGGAGGAGAGGGAGGGGGGGGGGGGTAATTCACGGCGTGGGCGCGCGCCTTGAGGTCCGGCATCAGCGTGAGGTACATGAGCGCCTCGACCGCCCACCGGTGGACGTGCGGCGGGACCTAAGTATAGATTATCAAGTCAGATATAGTAGGCTCATATGACCGCCCACCGGTGGACGTGCGGCGGGACCTAAGTATAGATTATCAAGTCAGATATAGTAGGCTCATATGACCGCCCACCGGTGGACGTGCGGCGGGACCTTGGCCTCGAGCAGTCCGCGCGTCGCAGCGAGCAGCTTCCCCGTCGGGTCGATGCGAGCGCGGTGGTCATGGTGCAGGAGGCAGACCTGTCGACACAAGGGGGGGGGGGGGGGGGGAGGCAGTCGTCAGGCCTCGCCGGCGGAGGAGAGAGGTGGCGGACGAGAAGCGGCGCGCCTTGGCGAGCGCGACGCACGCGCGCGCGCGGACCTTCGGGCGCGGCGAGCGCAGGAAGGCGCGCAAGTGGCGGATCGGCTCCTCGCCTTCCTTGTCCTTGAACAGGGAAACGTCGGCGGCCGCGTGCGCGTAGATCTCGGCGAGGGAGCGCTGCAGCCCCTCGTCCTCGAGCTCGGCCACCTGTTCACAGCTGCACCTGTGAAGAGACGCCGTTCACGCTCGCACGAGCACCCCTCCTCGAGCTCGGCCGCCTCGGCGAGCGACCAAAAGATGGACTCCTGCCGCAGAAGCCAAGCGCCGACCTTCTTGTTGACCTCGAGCACGGCAGTCACTCCGTGCACCGCCGCGGCGTGCGCCTCCCACTCCGCCTCCGGGTCGCGCAGCGTGGGAGAGAGGGCAGCCTCCGCCGCGGCGCACGCGCCCTTGTGAAAGGCCTCGTCCTCGCTCTTGTCGTCCCCCTTGCCGTTGGCGGCGGCAGCGGGCGTCAGGAGCCGCGCGAGGATGGCGAGCGAGCTGCGGTGCGCCTAGTCAGCAAGATGCGATCAGCCCAGTCACCCTCCGCCGGGGGACAGAGAGCGAGCTGCGGCGAACGGGCTGTGGCGAGCGGGCTGCGGCGCGCCTCGGTCTCGTCGTCGCCGACCAGCCAGGAGAGCGATCGGATCACGTCGGGCAGCGCCGCGCGGCACGCCTCCGGGTCCAGCTCCGCCATCCGCAGCACACCGTCCAGCGCGGCGCGCGACACGGCCGCATCGGGCGCGCCCGCCGCCGCCGCCCCGCCCGCCGCCGCCCCGCCCGCCGCCGCCCCGCTGCCCGCCGCCGCCCCGCCGCCCGCCGCCGCCTCGGGCTCAATCTCGACGATTCGCGGCTCGTCCTCGACCTCGTCGACGGGGGGCAGGGGCGAGCCGGCGGGCGCGCTTCCCGCGGCGGCGGCGCTGCCCGCGGCGCGAGGCGAGGCGAGCGCGAGGAGCCCGCGCAGGGCGGCGGCCTGCGCGTCCTGCGAGCCGAGGGCGGCGCGAGTCCCTCCGAGGAGCGCGAGGAGCGAGAGGGCGCGCTTGGCCGTCGCGAGGCAGTTCTGGAGCTGTGGGTGCTCTCCGCCTCCTGCGGCGGCGGCGAGGCCGCTGCGCGCGCCGCCGCACGCCCTCGCCACCGCGAGCAGCCGGCCGGCGAGCGAGGCGTGCAGCGGGTCCCTCGGCCGGGGCTGCCCCTCGCACGCCTGGCAAATGGCCCTCCGCGCGGCAGTGCCGCAGCCGGACGCGGGGGAGGCGGCGCCGAGCCCGCCGGCCGCGGCTGCGCCCGCGCCGGGCAGCAGGTCCGAAGACGCCATCCGCTCGAGGGCTTCGACGGCGAGCCCGACGAGGGGCATGCGGAGGCTGGACGCGTCGACGACCTCGTCCTCACGGGGGAGGAGAGAGACGAGCTCGGCCGCGGCGCCCGTGTGGACGAGCGCTGGCCCTTGCGAGCGGTCCTCCGCCACCTTTGACATCCGTCCGACGCAGCGCGCCAGCTCCTCCTCACCGGCGCCATCGGCCACGGCGCGGCGCAGCGCCTCGGTGGCGGCGCGTGGCGCCGACTCGTCGGCCGCACTGCAAGCGTCGACCGCCGCCTTGAGCCGCCGCGCGAGGAGGGCGGCCTCCCGGTTCTCTGGGTCGAGGCGGAGTGCGGCCTGCGCGTCTCGGAAGGCGGCTCCGAGGTCGGCGGGAGAGCCGAGCGCCTCGCGTGCCTGCGCACGGCGGTACATGGCCTTGACGTACCCCGGCTGGGCCGAGAGCGCCGCGTCGCAGTCCGCCACGCACTCGGAGGCGGCGTTCAACTTCAGGTGCGCGAGCGCACGGTTGGCGTGGAGCGCCGCGACCGCCTCTTTGCTGAGTGAGGGCGCGCCGAGCGCCGAAGTGTAGCTGGCAATCGCTTCGGCCAGCCGGCCTGCCTTGAGGTGCGCGTTCCCCTCGTCCTTCGACATTGCGGCGGTCCGCGTCTGCACGTGCTCGGCCAGGCGTTCGAGTCACCCCGTCGACCCTTTCGCACTGCTCGTGATCGGCTTCCCTTGTTGGCTTGGTGGGTAGGCGTCTCGCTGGGACATGTCTGACGGTGAGCCCCCTCGTCAACCCTTTTAGCTTTTAGCTTACTGGGAGAAAAGAGAGAGGGGGTTGTGTTCTCTAGGCCCCTAGGGGCCCTACGCGCGGCGTGAGAGCTCGGAAGCGAGCTTAGCACGGCGATCGAGGATGGCACGGTTCACCCCCTTCACCGAAGCGATGGAGATGCGTTCCGCGTGGTGTGACACAAATGAGAGGCGGGAGTGGGGAGGGTACGCGGTGCGGTCAACGCCCGAGCGTTGAGCCTTGCGCGCAAGGCGGTTGATCTTTGCAACTGCAGGCGGCGAGAAGCCGCCGCCGAACGTCTCGTGGAGAAGCAGGTTGAACTTGTTTCGTTTGCCGAAGATCCCGTCATGCTCTCTCTCTCAACCCTTTAGTTGGGGGTTG